TTGTGTGAAATTAAAAAAAAACCCAAACAAACAAACAAACAAAAAAACCCAAACAAACCCAAACTGAGTTCTTTTTTAGCACTCTTGTGGATTGTTGATAATCTTGTGTGCAGGTACAATGGAACAAGATCAAAAAAATAGTTTTCTTAGAAGTTCAGACAAATGTAGTTTGTTCAGCCAGTTCAGCACTTATACATTCCACTGCAGAACAATTTGATGTCAATATATTAACTGATGAGTTTTTACCTAATTTGTATATTTATTTCATTAGAAATTTTTTTAAAAAAAACACAAAACCCAAAAAACCCTCTCCAGATCCTGTGTTTCCTAGTTGGTATGTTGCTTGAATACCTGTTCTATTCAAGTATTGCAAACCTGGGCTCACAGAAGAGAGTTCTGGAAGAGGTCTGACCCAAAAGATGGTTTTGCTGGGTTTTGACCTGCTTGCTCCTCTGAATGTGCTTTTCTTTTTGTAGAGACTCACTGCTGTGCCAAGCAAACTTTTGCTCTCATACCTGTACAACACGTTGGTCATTAGTAAAGCAGCTAAGTGTTCTGCAAAGAGGCAGCCTACATTGCCCTTTGAATGGGCTGTGAGAAAATCAGCTTTGAACGGTTTCTGAAAACAGCCTCTTCCTTGTGATTAAAGAAATAGCTGCTCTGTAGCTCTTCATTTTTATGTCAAACTTTTATTAAAAAAAGTTAAAATGCCTGATTGTGCAAATACCTATTTTAAAAAATAAGTATTAATGGTGACTTGATTTATGTAAAGAGTCTATTGCATGTATAGATACTTTGGGGGTTACTGTGTTTTAATTTTTCTTTAAAAGTTAACAGTAAATAAAATCATCATTTTCAGAGGAAATAGCTTGTCTTTTATCTTCAGCACCATGACGAGCCAGACTAAATTGGAAAATAAAATCTCAACTGCTATAAAACTGTCAAAATATGTACATTTTACAATGATACACGTCTGAAACATGGCACAGGCGGTTTCCAGTTGAAAAAGATGTCACGCGAAGGAACGGAAAATCTGGAAAGCCTAATGAAAAGGGACAGCCCGGTTTTACACAGTCTGGCAGAAGGATAGCACTGTCCTGAGATTAGGGGATTGAGCAAAAAGCCAGCGTGCAGAATTGCGGGTTTTTATGTAATGGCTTTAGTAAATATCCTTTAGGACCCAGTGGAAATGTTTGGAGAGGCGAACTTGGTGAGTAATGGCCAATCATTAAGCGGTGATGAGGGAAAAGCTGTGAGTGAGAAGCCCCTGAAAGCCTGTCAAAAACATCACGCCGGGAAAGCAGCATTTCTACCACCGATCGCCAACGCACACGTGACGTCGGAATTAGAGTTAATTCAATGTTTAAACCCCGGGGGACTTGTACTACAGGAGGTTACTGGAGCGCAGGGTGCCCCACTCCGATTTCCAGCAAGATGCCTTATTTTGCAAAACTCCTTTTATTGATCTTTTGCTTAGTTCTTCTTGTGGAAAGCAGAAAGCACAGGAGGAGGAGGTGGACAAGCCAGCTGGAGGTGCAGAGGGCAAGGTAAGGGTTTTTAAAATGCCCAAGTTTCTCTTCCTGTAGTGTTACAGATACATCACTACACAGACACAAAAATCTGCCCTGTCAATGTCTTTTTGTATATTGTACATGCAAACAACTTAATAGAGAATGTTTTTTTGAATAGTGTCTGATACTGTATTCAGTTTTAACTGTAAATGGACACACAATGATAATTAACTCTCAATGAGGCAGGTTTTGCAGGTAAGTTGACCACTTCAGCTTGGTAAAAATATTCTTAGCCCCGTATGTGAATTACAGAGAGAATTCAGTGAAGCTGTGATTAATACAGATGTTCAAATCTGCATGTTGTTCCAGCACTGTTTGAAGAGCAGGTTATTTACTCTGCTTGCTGGAATGTCTGTGCTACTTACATTCAGATGAAATTGCATGTTATTTTCTAACAATTTTGAGGTGGGGGTGTTGGTTAGCATGTGTGGTATTAATTAGTAACATATAAATCCCTGGAAGTTACCCAGGGATTGTAAAATTGAAAACATATTTTGAAGAAATACATGGAAACTTTACGAAAATATGTATTTTAAAGTCAAGCAAAGGCATGAGAAAGAGTTAAAGGTCTTAGTAAAGTTTATTAGACTTACAGTTGCTGAGATTTGACCAGAGGTTTACATTGGAAAAGATAATCTTCCAAACCTGTCAGACAGCCCAAAATATGTTATCTTTTTTGTAGTTATGTCCTCCAGTGACAATTATATCTTACAAGATTGTTCAGTGTTTGAAGGGCTCAGAAATAAAATTGGGTTAATCCATCTTATTAAATGGCTTTACTCTGGCTGTAAACCTTCATCTTTTCATTTATTTTGTTGGTTTTTTTGGTTTAACAGTCAACGCTTTTATTTTATAGGGAATGTTGTTACTTGAACATTTTACAAAGAAATGTTGTGATATAATTGAAAGCAAAGAATACCTAATATGCTCTCAGATTTGTACTACTTATTGAAAAATTCAGTAGCATACACTTTTAGTGACATAAATGTTAGAAAGCTGAAACAGCTAGGGCCTGAGCTTGAAATCCTAAAGCCAACTGAAGTTTTGCCACTGATTTCCACAGAATCTCCATTATGGAATGAGATCTTTCATTTAACACTGAAAATTTTTCCAAGTCTATGTTCTGGGAAATACGGGGGATTCAACAGTAGCGTCTTCTTGCAAACCATTCACGTGTCGTAGAGATCATCTACTTGTAATGAAATAGTAACGAAATAGTATAAATCTTTCTTTTAAATGTGAATTTATCCAAAAGCGGTGCCATTCTCTAAGTTAATAAGTTGTTTGAATATTTTGTACTTTATTTAAACATTGCAAAAATAATTTACAATTTCTACAGTTGTGAAGTTGTGATAGAGTGGAAATCAAAGCACTGCTAAAATTAGTTACATAGATGAATTTATTGTAAAGAATGACTGATACTATTTGGTTTCCTGTGAAATAATGATTTTAATGAACAGTTTTCCAGCCAGGTAGAACCTGAGGAATTGTATGGTTTTTTTATATATATATATGTGTGTGTGTGTGTGTGTGTGTGTGTGTGTTTTTTTACATTTTCTATGCAAACAATGTACTTACTTAAAAGTATATAAAAGTAAGTATTAGGGGCTATTAAATGTGAATGACATTTTAAATACAGAGAATTCTGCAATATTGGGGAAAAAAAAAGTGTACGGAGCAATGACACTGATACCTTAAATTTCCAGTTACGTAGAAAAAATAGAGTTGTCTCAAAACCAGCAATGAATAGTGGACTCTTCTAGTAAAAGGAAATTAAAACCAGTTCCTATGCTGGTCTTCTAATCATGTAAGAGAAATGAAAACTATCCTTTTTAATAACTGCATCACATTTTCTGCTTAGTATTTCTCTTGCTGACTTACCATAAGAAATACAGTAAATGTATTTTACAGTAAACATATTAGCCAAGAAAATTTATTCCTATGTTTGAGAATCTGTGTTTGATAAGTTTGATATTTTGTGTCCTTTAAGGTGGTACATCAACCTGGTGTAAAGACCTTTATATTGGTTTCAAGAAGCTAGC